TGCCCTTGATGGTCCGATACATGAGAAAACCCTTCTTACAGTCTTACAGAGACCCAATGGCAAGGCTTTGTCAGTGGTTCCTCTCACCTCTCAACCAGCTCCACAAGCCCCTAGTAGCGTCCTTGCTCCTAGTAGTACGGCCAGGAGCCCCTAATAGCTTCTTGCTCCTAGTAGCGATGCCAGGAGCCCCTAGTAGCGTCCTTGCTCCTAGTAGTACGGTTCGCCTCAAATTGAAGACATTCAAACAAGCTTCGGTAGGCTTCGGGCGGTCGACTCCACCGATGACAAAAATGCGCTTCACCTAACACCGGTGAGCGAGTGTGCCTCTCCGAAGCCAACAATGGCACATCCAAATTTTTGGCATACCTGGAAAACACTAACGAAACCAAGTCAAGCCCTTGAAGCATCACTTTCCACAAAAAGCACCAAGCAGTCTCATGAATGAATGCCAAAGGCCGACCTCCGGGCAGAACTGGCGGATGGATCCCACCGTACGACCTGGTCGCGCATGTTTCACTGGGCTGGTTCCCCTTGAATCCTCCAGAACTCCGACCTGACAGGCCAAATCCAAGCGGGCACAATCCATGTGAGGGAGCTTGAATCCGAAGGGCCGCACGAATCACCCCTAGCCACACCGATGGTGTCCCTGCGTGTCAGGTGCCCCTGCCCAAAGTCTTGTAATCCTTCTCATGTGCTGGGATGATACAGTCCAGCACCTCCAGATCCCGATCTTGACGGAGCGGAGCGTCTAAGGTGAAATTTGGGTTTGATCTAGTTTACAGTCGAGGTTTTGGCCTCGCCTTTCTAAATCGAACCCACATTGAAAAGAAGATCTGACTTGCTTATATTGGTTCCATATTGCTCTTCTGCTGTAAATATCAATCTTGAACCACTTGAATATCTTAAATACCCATTCATCCTTGGCTTCTCTACGACGTCCAAGGTATCGAGTCACTCTGCGTCTGGATAGTTAGGTTGAGGTTTCAGATGGTTTAAGCAATGATGTTTACAGTAAGTGACAAAGTGACACTCAAATCACAGGCCCCCAATGGCTCAACTATATCTGGCAACTTCAGAGTACATGAAAAGCACTCTCATCTCTGTGTTAAAAGCACAGAGGAATGTATAGAGATGTCTGATTTCATCTTCATTGAGCTAGGCAATACCTTTAGATGGTCGAGCAACCGAGCACCTGCGCGATCTCTTATGGATCAAACTCGCAGGCAGCGGCAGTTTCTGGGGGCATTAGTACTACGGGAAACATACATTTTATGTTGGTCCAGTCATTTATTTGTATATATACGCGAACAATTGCGAGTAACTATGCAACATGTATGATAATGTATGATACAGTATGTGTCTCCATCAGTAAATTGCGCCTGTCAACCAAACTCTCTTTTCATGAATGTACCAAATTTGAGACTACAACCAGCTGATGACAACATTCATCTGAAGATGAACTGCCTTGGTTGGACCCTGCTCCTAGGGTGCATTGAGTGTGAAATACGTTTTCCTGTTTTATGCTCTAAAGACCTGCTTAAACTTTACTAGGAAACTTCTGCCGGAGGCGCAGCGTGTTCCCTTTTCGCTTAGTAAAGGGGCGTGTGTGACATTGACGTAAAGTACAGTGAGTAGCGAGTTGATGCTAAAGAAAGTGAACCCCCACAGATTGCATAATTTAGAATTTGAAGAAACTGTTGCCGTCAGGAAAGCAACGTTTCCCCGTGCCATGCTGTGTGAGTGTCGCTTGTGAGCTGTAGGTTTGTGGGATTCCAAGACTTAGACTTGCAACCTGGAAGGTTCAGAAACTGGAGCTCAAGTGCAACACAGATCTACAAGTGCCATTGAATATGATGGGTGTGATGATGTGTGTGTGCCCCTTGTAGTCACAGGGATTCTTTCGAATTGTTTCCGTTTTGTTTCCAGCAGGGGGTAGCGGCAGATCATTTGGGACCGCTACCAACGAAGACGCCCACTTGATCTGGTGATATCGGAGTTGGCCACCGACGTACCTGCGATTCTTTTCGAATGGCATGGTACCTCATGTAGCTGCAGTCACGCACGGAACGCCGTCAACCTGTCGGACCGACCTCGTCTTGAGCTTTTGGCCACCTTTCTTTTTGAAGACCTCCAGGATCCAGTGGTTCGTACGTGTACTCTTAGGAAATGGTACCCTAGGCCGGCGTGTGGCACCGCTGTCCGTCAGTACGCAGATCCATAAGTGTGTGAAGGCATAGTGGGCTAATGTGGGTAGTATATAGATTCGATAGGCATCGGGCTGCATCAAAACATTTCCATTGGCAGTACTTGGTGATCAATGAAGCAATGCGGCCTGCAAATCACTGCGATTGTTGGACAAGGTTGTCAAGTGCTCCTGGGGTAGCCACGGAAGCTTCTTCCGGCTGCGCCATCGTCAGCCAAGGATTCGAAGGATTTGTCAAAGGTCGGATATGTCTCTGCTGCAGTGGTGCAAATTCTGCCAAAACACATTTCACCCCTGAAAACAACCTTCCCGACCACTGAAAGACCCACCTGCAATCACCTGCATCTTTTCAAGGAGACTTGTCGCTTGTTTCTAGTTCACACAAGCTTGCCCTCCATGTGGCAGGGGCAATGAGTGTGGAAGCCAAAATGATCGGCGCCCTCCCCACAACATCATCGCAGCCTCGCTACGTACATTGTGATAGTCTCCTGTCACGAACCCAAAGTCGACATGCACAGCATTGCACAGCCCTTTGGCCGCTTGGGGCCAAATGCTAGCGTGTTGCGTTTCAGATGTACACCGTTGGTCTTCGTTTGATGTACGTTATCTGGTCAACAGAGTTGCAAACGGATCCTAATTGGAGCAATCCAGGAACAATTGCAGGAAGCCTTGGCTCTCACAGACCAAGAATGAAATGAGAGAAACCACGAGAAGCCCATCCCACCTTTGCCAGTACTGTGATTTGGGCCTTCTTTCAATCCCACCTTTCGAAGCAATCAAACATTTCACATTACACAGAAAAACGCACAAGTCACAAACTTTGTCATGGGGGCCACGAAATGTGTCACGAATCACGTTGCAAAACGCTGATCTCTGGATCGCATCACAAAAACGCAGAGGAGCAAAAGGGATCGATGTGATTGCACCTTGAAATACGATGAAAAACGAATCTTTGCAGATGCCTTGAGAAACTTGAGAGGAGGGAGACACGAAAGGTAGGACAGCGGGAAGAGAAGAGAACGCGAGAGGCAGGAACAAAAACGGAATGTTCGACATGGTGATTAATCCCCTCGGAGGCGACCTTTCGTACATATATGTTCATATGCACTCTAAATGTTCAAACATATGCTCTCGAAATGTTCAAAAAGACTCTTAGGAAAACAAACTTGCCCCATGGCTCAGATCATCGGTGAACATTGAATCGGAACATCATAGGATTTGAACTATCCTGAAACCATAAGAGGCTCACGAAAACGCTCCCCAGGAGAGAATTGACGTGCTTGACAAAACAAACTCTAGGTATGTATCCCCTCGGGGAACACCTTTCGTGATTAGAATTTCATATTCACTCTTTCTGAATGTTCAAGAGGGTTTCAACTATCCTGAAATCATGAGAAGCTCACGAAGACGTTCTCCAGGAGAGAATTGATTTTAGAGGGGGGGGGGGGGTCTGTATTGAAAAATCAATTCCAAGGGGGCGGGGGGGGTGGGGTCTGTATTGAAAAATCAATTCGCGTGGGGGGGGTGGTCTGAATTGAGCGATCAATTATTAGACCCGGACGTCCCAACACTTGCTTCGCAAGACAAACTCAAGGTATCCCCTAAAGGGCCACCTTTCGTGATTTCATTCATATGCACTCTGTCTGAATGTTCAAGAGGGTTTCAACTATCCTGAAATCATGAGAGGCTCACGAAGACGTTCTCCAGGAGAGAATTGA